ATTATGATGTCCCCAGTTTCCAACAACGGCACCTGCCAAAAATAAATCAGCACTTTGGTTTTCTCCATCTGTTCAAAATGTCATTAATTACGAATAATTGAGATCTTCCAGAGGAAACTTCTCCAAAAGACAGCAAGAAATCACAGGTAGAAAAAAATGCCTGCCTCACCAATTTGTTGATGAAATCGTCCACAGCACTTCCAGCCTTCACCAGCAAGATAATGCGCCGGGGCTTCTTTAACTTAGAGACCATCTCTTCCAGGCTGTGAGCACCAATCACTTTGGTTCCCTTGGCCTCATTAGCCAGAAAGTCATCCACTTTGGAAACCGTCCTGTTAAAAGCACAAACCTGGGAGAGCAAGAAAACATGTTAATAAAAGCTGCCACCAGAACAGTTGCTTTAGCTCAGACTACAAATTATATACGCAAGAGTCAACACCACATGCTCTCCCACTTCCACCTTCCCTAAATACACAGAGCAGGGCTGAACCTGCTGCATGTCTTTGCAAGTGCCTTGGGAACCTATGGTTAATGGCCAAGCCCAAAGGAAACTTCAAGGTAAAATCACACATAACTAACACATGGAGTGGGTAGCTGAGTACAGGCATGCACTGCTGGTTTTCTCTGGAAACAGGACAAAGGGCAGCCTAGGTTATAACTAAAAGGAGGAAATAACACCCATTAGACCATCATAAGAAAAAGAAAAAACCACCCACAAAATGCTCAGCTCCCATCCCAAGTGGTAGTGAGTCAGCCTTTCTGAACAATGTCTTCCTTCACTTACCACAAAGCCATGGTCGTTCATATTCAAAATAAGGTTTTGACCCATCACGGCCAGTCCAATCAAAGCAATGTCAGCTCTGGAAGGTGGAAAAACAAAAAAGCCAGCTAAGCCTCATTGCAGTGACCCAGCACTAGTGTCCATACCCTCCGTCAGGCTGGTCTCATCTCTCAACTTGGCCAGCCCACCCCTCTCTAAACGCTGTAGCACACGCTCTGAATGGATTCCATCGGCCACCACAGCGAGAGATCCTTGTGGCTCCCAATCAGTCCAACAGACAGAGCAAAGACCAACATAAAGCATGTTTGAAGTCACCAAGATTTCTTCCCAACTACCAAAACACAACCAGATAAGTAAGAACAGTAAACTACCCAGAACGTGGCACTAGGAGGCCGGGAGTGAGTAGCTCTGGTATGTCACTGATGGCTCCAGCTCTACCACGGCTCCGTATTTAACAGATGATGCATTAGAACATCGTGTCTGAACACGACACCGTGGACTTTTTTTTTGTTTCTACAACACAAACTGTCTCGGATTTGGGGTAAGAAGAGGAAAGGAGAGAAACAGGATATTCTGCCCGAGGCCGCCTAGTTGAGGTGGCAGGCAGAGCAGCCCAGCCGGCCCGCTCCTCTTCCTCGGGTCAGGAACCCGGCTCCCGCCTCAGGTACCGCTCAAACCCGACCGCTCCCGCACAGACTCAAAGAAGGGCTCGGGCTGGAAGGGACCTTTAAAGATCATCCCGCTCCAACCCCACCGCCGCGGGTATGGGGGCACCTTCCGCTAGGCCAGACTGCTCAAAAAGCAAATTTTGTCAAAATTTCTGTCAGCCATCGGCTTTATTCTCTTCGCCATCCCTCGGCCGCCGCACACCCCCTGAGGCTGGCACAGCGACCGGCCGTGAGGCGGCTGGAGGGCCCGAACCCCCCTTCCCTCCTCCCGCCGGACACACCGCGGAACCGGCCGCACCGGGGAGCGGGGACCGCACGGCACCGCCCGCTGCCCCCAGGCCGGCCCACTGACAGCGCTGGGTTCTGCAGAAAGCCGCTCGGCGGCGGCTGGAGGCCGCAAAAGCGGCTGCCGTCCCCCCTCAGCCCGCGGGGGGCACGTCCCGGCTCTCCCCAAACCGCCTCCCCGTTAATGCTCTCAGTAAGGCCTTTCCCCCCCGGCGGGGAGCACCCCCCGGCCCTCCCGGCACCCCCGGGGCGGCGGCCCGCCCGCACT